ATTAATGCAGATGCGTGCGTGCACCACACACAGACATGCAAAACGCACCGATTTATGTTCAAATATATCTGAGCTGTACTGTACAAATGGCAGTTTTACCAGCCTGTTCAAGTATGGGAGGTCTCAAAAGAAATACAGCTAGCAAGACAAGTTTAACTCCCCAATTATTTGAATCAATTTCTACTGATTGTGAGTTCAGAAAACCTCAGGCATTTTCTAGACTTCACAAACCGTCTAATTCACGTTGAACAAGATAAATTACCACCTACTTTAAGTGATTATTAAAAAAGTCATTATCATTTACTAATTTTTTGGATGAGTGAAATTCAATTTCAGATGACCAAAACTTGAGTCCTACTTGTCCGATGGATGAGTGAAGTGACAAGGAAGTTTTTTGCGCTGCTAAATGCCACCGGCATCTATTTCAAAATTGGCAGTTTTGACACGGTCTTTATACGAGTCCAGCATTTAACCGGGGCCCAGCATTAATTGAGAAAATACCGTATACACACACACATATTATATATATATATATTTATTGAAAACTAGATCACCGGATAATGCAATTCAAGAATTTTTATTGGCTTAGCCATTATGGTATATCAGCCAATATACCATAATCTACAAATATGGCAAGCCTACGTGTCAGCTTAAAATTAAAAGGGAGCTAAAAATTTAATAAAATTTAATAACTTAATTTAACGTTTATAATAAAACAATTATTCCACTCGTTCTTGTTGGATATGAGATGATTATAGCCAACTAATGTATATATATATATATAGATATATACAGCCTGACCAACAGCAGTATGTATCTATAGTATAATATTATTATTATAAGACTTACATTTTGACCAAAGGAAAATCAGGTCAGATTAACAATTTTGAGCACTTTTGCAAACAAAAATTGAAGCTTTTCTTTGCTTGAAGTTCCTGAGTTTCAATTATTCTTTTACTGCTTACCCTTGAGGATCGCCTTTGACTTCCCATCTTCAAAAACGCATCTAAAAGAGAAAGGCAATAGCCCTAACATCCATATGTTTATACAAATACCATATGCATATGAATTAATATGAATTAGAATGTTGCCCTGTAAGCTTTGGGGATTCGTTTTATGGGTGGAAAGGTGGATTCGAGGGCAAAATTTCTGCCAGCATCTCACGAGCAAAATGGTTTGATACGATCATAACTTTTAACAAAATGGTATGATTTTGGATTTTTAGAGTGGTGCTAAAAAGCCTATCGCTCAAAGTTAATTATGAGCATAATTTGGCTAGCACTACTTTATGCGGGAAATTTATGAGTGAGGACATCCAATAACTCTTCTTATCTAATCGTTTGGAAATGGGGAATATCAGAAAACACTGGCCTTATCGACTTCGACTGATACTGTTTTAACGTATTAAATTTTCTATTTGGTTGTTCTTATAAGCTTACATTCCATGTGGGCAAATCTTCGTGCAAACAAATTGTAGCTTCGATTCTTTGTCTACTTGACCCAGTCAAATTAGGTAATTACTCCCAATAGTTAATAAATTTCCTTTTGATACAGCTTAATCACTTACCTTTCAGTGTGTGTAATACATCCAATCACTTTTGAATGCCAGAAAAAAACAATCGAAATGGCTGCAAGCTTTCACGGGGACTTTCTCGGTCGGTTTCCCGCGTCGTTTCCCGCCAAAGAATAGTGGATTTTACTGAACAGCGGTGTCCGGTGCTGGACAGGCCCAGGAGAGGCCTGTCCACCATCATGGAGAAACACGGCCGAGAAGACCCTGGGAACGAGATTGCTACTGGAGAGTGTTCGGTTCCACTGAACAGCGGTATCGCGGCACTAAATCAAATCATTACGGTATGGTATAGTTACTATTATTTTATAACTATAATGTGTACTTTGTTTCAGATTCAAGATGACGTCAATACAAGTTAATACTCTTCATGGGACATCTGCCAACAACAGTAAAAGATAGGTCAACCATGTAATACATGTAAAAGTTCAGGAAATAATCTTACTTGCCTTTGTCAAAATGCTAATAATTTCTCAAGCCTTGGAAATAAGATGAATTTTGACAAATGTGTGTGAAATTATTTCTTAAATAATTTCATCATCACCATACCAATTTTCAATTTAGAGTTCATTGGCTGATAATGTTACTGAGGCAGACCCAACCCAATAATATATGGAACCCCAAAAAACAACATTTCTTTCCAGTGAGGTACATCGTAGCTGTCAACTCTCCCATAATAGGCGGGAATCTCAAGATTTTGAGCCTTGTCTCCCGCTCTCCCGCATTGAGGTGGAAATCTCCCGCTTTCAGAGTTTCTAATAAAAGCAAGCTAAAATGGCAAATGCACTTCAATCCGGATAAATGCGAGGTCATGCGTATTACACATAGAAAGGATAAAACTAAACCAATTTACTCGCTGGGGGGGGGGGGCAATTTAGGTCGGTAGAGAACACTAAGGACCTTGGAGTAACCATCTCTTCTGACCTGTCCTGGGGCTTACATGTATCTGCAACGGTAAACAAGGCAAATATGGTACTAGGTAACATAAAGCGGTCCATCGGAACTAATAGCCAGTACGTGTTTTCGCAGCTCTATAAATCACTGGTCAGGCCCATACTGGAGTATGCGGCTCCTGTTTGGAGTCCGTATTTGATTAAGGATATTACGGCTCTAGAAACGGTTCAATGAAGAGCTTCGCGACTAGCTTTAAAGCACGACTAAAAACTTTACCTGAAAAGAGCGGTTTGTAATTGTTACAAATATTGTTTCTTCATTCGCATTGTGGGGAAATGGAATAGCTTGGCAGGATACATTGTCCACGCCGAATCATTGTCAGTTTTTTAAGAGTAGACTTAAAATTTATTTGAATATTTATTGAATATTTATTGAATCTGTAGCCTTTAAATTTTATCTTTTGTATGTTTTTAGTCAGGGAAATTGTTTTTATACAGGGCTAACCTCACGATTTTCCCTTTTCAGGATTTATTTTTTACATTTGCGTTCTAGCTTCCTGAATAAATGTTATGTTATGTTATGTTATGTTATGTTATGTTATGTTATGTTATGTTATGTTAAAAAAGTTTACCAAGTTATCACCTCCGTTCCCGCAAAATGTAACCAATATAATGTTTGTTCAACACAAGTTCCTTGGCATTTTATATCCCTATTGGCATGCAATTGTAAGTGCCGTTTAGGTTGGATCCATTTGAGACCCCACAAAAGTTCCCAGGACCTTTGTCCCCTGGTCGGGATGAGGCTGACTGCTTTTCCTTTGGGTGGAAAACGGTGGGCATAACTTCGGAAAAGGTTCGGAGAATTTCTGAAAGACATTAACGCTCTCAGAGGATCTCAAGGTTTCTGAACTTCAGGGATTGACAGCTACATCTAACAAATCTCTCTAAAGGCCAGTTTACCGACACTGCGATTTGTCGGGACTGATGTCTTGGGTCGACCTGTTAGGGGGCGAATCAGAGTGTAAACTAAGAACTACGACATACCTGCATGATTGTGACTCAACACAAGTTAAATGACACAGAAAAAGATGTAAAAGGAAGTATTGTGGGTACTTTTTACTTTCACTAATCATCGCTTCAGTCTCTATTTCTTCAAAAGACATGAGTTTTTTACGTTTTTCTAGTATAGCATTTTCCATGTTGGCCGCCATGTTTCCTTTGTCTGAGGGGAAAATCGGGCCGACATGAAAAATCTGTTTGGCGTGAACAGATATTTTTGTGTCGGGCTGCTGTGTCGGATTCTTATCATGGGAAGATCAGAATAGCATTTACATTCCCTGACTCACTCTCCGACAGGTCGGCCCGAGAAATCAGTCCCGACAAATCGCAGTGTGTAAACTGGCCTTAACGATAGTTTTTCTTCAAGCTAGTATCTTGTGTTAGTCACTGTACTGAAGTGGACATGGCTATGGCCTTTTACAAAGTAATGGAGGCCCCAGCAGGGGAGGGGGACTGAGTTAGAAAAAAGGTAGTTAGGCTCCTAACACTAGTATTGATGAGTGGATATTACAGTGAATTTGCCAGAATGTCATTTTTTAAAGGTACATGCATTTTCACATGACTTATGTCACATTGTAACAAATACTTATCATTCTAAAACAAACCTTCCCCGGTAGGTAGACCAATAGTGTCAGGGTGTGATGGCCCTATAGAGAAACTATCATCATTTGTCGACAGACTCCTTCAGCCGATAGTACAAAAACAAAAGTCGTATCTTAAGGATACTACAGACTTTGTCAATTTCATAGAAAATACGAAAGTCCCGGAAAACGTAATACTTGTTTCAATGGACGTTACAAGCTTATATACAAATATACCACAAGAGGAGGAAATAGACACTTTATGTGAAGCATACGAAAAATTCTACAGAAACGGAACTCCTATCCCTACACAACTACTAAAACAGGCGCTTAGGCTAATTCTCCAAGAAAATTCTTTCCATTTTAATGGAAAACACTACCTTCAAACATATGGTACGGCCATGGGTACGGGCTGGCTTTCCCTATCATGGCCTTGCATCGAGCCGGTGCACTTTAAACAGAAGGATGGGTACAACTGCGGAATTCTCATTTGTCTCGTATGTAGCTAACTCGCTATGCACCCACACGCGACATTTAGTTTTAAGTTCAATACAAAAGTCACTATTCTCATTAAATCATGAGGTGTTAAGGTACGAAATATTTACCCTCACAAGGTAACTAGCATTACCGTTCTACAGGCTAGCCCCTGGAAGAAGTGCATTCGATTAAATATACCTTAACAACCAGTTATTTCTCCTTTAAAAGGAATTGAACGGTATATTACATATTCCAGTTCACTCATTTTTTCCAGTGATTGATTGTTATTTTCGATCGTTTCTTTCAGTTTGCTGGATGTTTGTGCGAAGAGTCCTCCATAGATGTAGCTTTCGACATAGCAACCGAACGTGCACTAATAACGTCTATGGTGTTTGGCTGTTGTTACGATGACATCCACGAGTAAGTAACCTAAGTCACAGCTTGTTTCCAAACTGCATATTCTTTAATCTTGCTAAGCATCGGGTTTGATCGTATTAGAGAGTCAAAGAGTCAAAGTATGAGACCTGACCCAATAAAAAAGAAGACAGTGAATGATAATGAAATACATGTTCTGTCCGCTGTAGGAGAAACATCAATGTCCGCATAGTGTGCCATGACGACGATGGAGAAGATTGACTGGGATGCGACAGTTGTGGCCAGTACTTCCACGCAAGTTGCATCAAAGTGGATTTCCCAGACTCTCTCTAGCTACCGGTACTTTGTCTGCCCTTGTTAATTTCACAACATCGTTGCGGATTAGTGACGTAAATTGATAGTGGAGAATATTCGTCCCAGTGTGGGACTGGCTTAAGACTAAGCTAGGCTGCGTACAATTCCTGAAATTCCCGTTATTTCACGAATTATTTGACGTTTAAGTATTGACAAGTTTTTCGTATTACGTAAGTAAAATATTGACTCGACACTCCAAGGAGAATCTCTCTTCAAATTTACCCTTTAAGATTCGAAGTTACCGCCCAAAATTCAAACGTTACTGTTAGGTTTCTTGGCGCATTGATAGCCTTGAAAATGGCCTAAACACACTGAAAACATTTTCATTAGTTTTTGTATATCTTCATCCTTTCTTCACTATGATCTTACACATTTCGGGTTTGAACTTTTCGTGGGGAACACGTGCTACAGCTTACACGATTTATTTTAAATTTAACCGCTGTACTATAAACTCATGTGTTCGACCCTCGACGAACGCCTTTAATATGACAGAGCTGAATAACGTATACGCATGCGCTAGGTTTTGCCGCGGAAGCACGGATTTTGAGTCGTTCGCATGGTTGATTTCCTATTCTGTTTCTTCGAGGCGTCGTTTTTCTTGCCGCTTTTCTTTTACAGAACAACCTCCAAAAATTTGATACACCACCTAAAAATTTTCAAAAATTAATTTTCTCCTTTAAACCTTTGGAAATAGGAAAGTGCTTTCGACGAAAACAGAGTTCCTCGGTTTTAAAGGTCAGCCCTTATCATTTTCCGCGAATTTCGCTAAATTTTAGACCTAGGGCACTTGAGCCCGCGTTGTTGACCGCATACCCGCTGACGTAGCTTTTCATTATTCAGCGCTGTTCTTAGATACAGCGTCACCCGTAACTTCCGACGGCTCGAAATGGTATTGCGTTACTTCCGATTTCCCCCAAATTTGGCATGTATGACGTTTAAAGATTATACCAACCATTCACCAAGTTTGGTGAGGTACTTTTGAATACTCTTTACACAACACCATTTTAAAAGTTTATGGTTGACCCTCGAGCAATTTCGTACACGTGCGCGATCCTTGGCTCCGCGGAAAATGGTTTTAGAAAAGATCTCTTACGGAAAAAACACCGCTGAATCGATGGAAAATGTACAAGAAAGTAATTTGAACCGGCAGTGAGAAAACGAGATCGTCAGATCAAGGTGAGAAGTCAACAAATCCATTTCGAATTGATCGCATCGACCACGTGGCCGCTATAATTGAATATCTGGTCTTCAATACGAAGTTCTTCGCCCCGGAGTTGCCCTTTTGTGTATGATTTCTCGCTTGGTTCGTTAAATTTCGGTTAAAAATTGATCTTTGGGGCTTTAAGTGATATGTTCCAAAAGCGTGGTTTTAGCGATCAGATACGACGTTATCCGAGATATTTGAATAAGCGAAATCAGACACGTAGGGCGATAATTATTATCTGTTGTTATGGTAATGCATTTTCGGTTACGTTTGTTGCGTGCATCATTCGTTGGCGATTTGGCGATCTAATTTAGCATCGATTTTCCATTCGGTTAATTTTGAGTTACATACGGATCATAAACATTGCAAATTTAATATTTTTAGCGAAGGAGAAGTTGAAGATGAGAAGTAATCGAGCGACCTAACAAGGTTGCGTTACTACTTGGCCTGCGTCATTACGCTCCTGGGGGCAGAGTGGTGAGTGATGTATTTACAACTCAAGCGCCAACTTTTGTGTTTGATTTCTCGCTTAGTTCTTTAAATTCGATTATAGATTGATATTTTGGGTTCTAAAACTCAGTGACATGCTCTAAAAGCATGGTTATAGCGATCGGATGCGATGTTATTCGAGTTATTTGAAGAAGCGAAATCGGACACGAAGTGCGATATGATAACTGTTGTTATGGAAATGCATTTTCAGTTACGTGTAATTCGTTGGCGATTTGACGATCTAGTTTAGCATCGATTTTCCATTCGGTTAATTTTGAGTAACATACGGAATATAAACATTACAAATTTAATGTTTTTAGCGATGGAGAAGTTGAAGATGAGAAATTATCGAGCGACCGGAAAAGGCTTGCGGTTCAACTGTCTGCTGAGTAATACAATGGCCCTTGTCTTGGTGAGTGATATATTGATAACTCAAGCGCCAAAATTTCGAATAACAAGTTGTAATTTTCGAATGCCTATGCTATAGAATGGCGTGAATTTGTTTTGGATATCAGTACATCAATGTTAATTGATGATAATTTATTTACTTTGTGGCACGTCAGGGCTTTATAAGATGAGGATAAGCCCTGATGTGCGAATTTCTTTAGAATAACATGGGCGCACATAAAAATTCAGAAAAAATTGACTTTGTATTCATTTGCTTTCAGAGTTTCAGGAATTATTGCCTACCTGTTAATAACTTTTGCTATCAAATAATCTTCAGTAACCTATACTCATGTAGCCTGCGAACAGGCTCCCCATTCAATCAGACGTGGGGAGCCTGCATTCAAGTCTCAGAATATCGAATGTCTGCGTCCAAAATTTGGACGCAAAGCGTTGATTGGTTGATTTTAATTTTTCATGATGTTGTCTTAGGTTTCAGTTCTGGTAGAGGCAAATTATTAAAATGGCGGAAAGAAGGGATGCTGTTCTTCGCGCGGCTTGTGACCATTTATCAAATAATTTGAAGTTTACTCTGCAATTGAAGCGCGAACAGCGTAATGCTGTGGACTATTTACTTAAGAAAGATGATGTGCTCGCGGTTCTTCCGACAGGATACAGCAAAAGTCTTACTTTCCAACTCTTTGCTGTTGCTGCGTCAATTGAAGGGGAAGAGCGGCAAACTGTGTTGGTTATTTGTCCTTTGAAAAGCATCATACATGGAAAGGGAAAGGTTTAATCGGTTTTAGCAATCACGATGCCCTCTTGAAAATTCGCAACAGTTCAAAAGGACGAGAATAGAAACATTGAATGACGCATTTTTCACGGGAACAAACACACATTAGCCATGAATCCAACACAGTCACAGACTAATTATTGCCCGAAATCTCTTGAATTTCGTTCAGAAATTGACACTTATTAAGATATTCATCGCTGCACTAACCTTGAACAACACAAAGATGGTGAAACAATAAATCCGTCTACGTAGTCAAGAGACTTTCAGTTAATCTTACCGAGGGCAACTGATATAGGCATAATTCACTGTGTAAAACTTACCAGCAAAACTGTAGCAACTACAAGTGGATTCAAACGATAAGGGTTGCAAAACGCGCGTAAATTCAACTCTCAAGTCGAATTCCAGCGATCATTGACTTTGAGACACTGGGGTCGGTAAAGAGCGAATCGCAGTTCTCAACAATGGTTACCCACAACAACGTAATAAAATTACGGTCCAAAGCATGCACATAGTATTGCAAGCCTTTGTATAAAAAATGTTTTTTCTTACCTCTTTTGAAGAACTGAAGACGTCGAAGCGTTTCAAAAGAACCAGTTGATGACTCCCTACCATATGCAGACGTAACCTTATCTGTCACATAAATTGTGTGACGACTGGAATGAGGTACACGACACAACGCCTGCGTGAAATTCCACAAAATTTTCTCAACTATTTTTAGCCGGTTAAAACTGACTTAAAGTTTAAGCATCCCGTTTCCGCCGTGTGTTTTATTAGCCCTTTCACTCCCAAGATATCATTAGTAATTCTTATTGAATCTCAGACAGATCTTAGCGGGGTTAATCAATGATTGGAAATGTTCAAACTGTAGTAACTCAATTCAAGCGGTTTTCGACTTCTCTGATTCCTTATTTGAAGAAAATATATCGTTCCAAGATGGCGAATATGCAAATCAGTGTCACGTACCACAAAATCTGCATACTACATGTGTCTTAGCCTGCGAACAGGCTCCCCGTTCAATCAGACGTGGGGACACAGGAAGGGGAGCCTGCACGCAAATCTCAGAATATCGAATGTCTGCGTCCAAAATTTGGACGCAAAGCGCTGATTGGTTGATTTTAAATTTTCATGACGTAGTCTTAAGTTTTCAGTTCCGGTAGAGACAAAAAATTAAAATGGCGGAAAGAAGGGATGCTGTTCTTCGCGAGGCTTGTGACCATTTATCAAATAATTTGAAGTTTACGCTGCAATTGAAGCCCGAACAGCGTAATGCTGTGGACTATTTACTTAAGAAAGATGATGTGCTCGCGGTTCTTCCGACAGGATACGGCAAAAGTCTTATTTTCCAACTCTTTACTGTTGCTGTGTCGATTGAAGGGGAAGAGCGGCAAACTGTGTTGGTTATTTGTCCTTTGAAAATCATCATAGAAGACCAAATTGCTGAGGCCGGAAGTCTGGGTATCCCGGCGGCTTCCACAGAGGATATCTCGGAAGACGAGTTGCGTGCCGCAAAATTTCGGCTGAGGGCCGCAAAATTTCGGTTCGGCTGAGACAGTTGTGGAGAAACGATTCCTCGACATTTTAAAAGATAACTGCTCTTCTCTTGACAGAAAATTGGCCGCAGTTGGGGTGGATGAGTCCCATACTGTTGAGATGTGGACTGGAGCAAGGTATTATGTTTCTAACGAATCCTGTTGGGTTTACTTCTAACTAAATTGTTACTCACTTGTTCAATGATTGTTCACAGGTCTGAGGCAAAACTCGGTGCAAATGTTGCTTTCCGTGACGCGTTTGGGAAATTGTCGCAGATCAGATCCTTTTGTAAACAAGGAAAATCAAGTTCTATAGTCATTCACCGATAAGCTTAAGTCTGTGTTGCCGTGCCTGTTATTTTAAGAGTCTTTCGATTGCATTACTTGATTTCCTGACCAAGACGCTGTAGTCACTCTTTACTTTGATTACGTTGAATTTATTCGTTTTATCTTTTTAAGGGACGCCAATACTTGCAATCACCGGGACTGCAGATGGAAACACTCAAAGTGTCATTATTAAACAGTTGCTGTTAAAAAAGCCACCGTGAGACATGGCGCTTGCTCGCCGAGAGCCTGTTCGTTTGTTTGTTTTCTGTTTTGGATTTTGACTTCCGGCGCGCGCTGACTGGTTGACATTTGACAGTTAACAAGATAAGTCCTCTGCGGGGTTCTTGTGGGAGGTAAACGCGAATTAGCAAGACGCGTGCAGGCTCCCCTTCCCCTGCTTCGCGCCGTTGTGCTCCTCCAAGCCGGGAGCCTGTTCGCAGGCTACATGTGTCTCAACTGATGCAGAAATTCAACGAAGCGAAACGGCTAGCGTTACTCATAACCTACGACGGGAACTTGGGGATAAAAATCTGAAAATTGGTCACCTAAATGTTAATGGCCTGATGAGCAAATTTCGTGAAATTCAACTAATTCTAAGTGATATTAACTTCGACATCCTTGGCATTACTGAAACTCACTTGAGTGAGGACGTCTCAAATGAGTGGATATCAATTAACAACTACAACCTGGCAAGGAAGGATCGTGA